GTATGTGGATTTCAGTTGGGAGGGAAGGGGTATGTGGGTAAAGGGGGAGGAGTTGGGCAGCGGCTTGAGTGGTTAAGTCGTAAATTTTGGTGTTGTAAAATGGGGCTCATCAATATTGAGGCTAGAGAGGGCTTAATCATCACCATCATGATCATCATCGTCGTCGTCGTCGTAGTCGTTGTCATCACTGTTGCAATACCTTCTGCTGTAACATTTCAGCCTTCCGCATGACTGTAATTATGGTTGCTATGGTAGTTATGGTGATGTTGCAGTTGGTGTTGTTTAAGGTGATTGCGGTGGTGTTGCTATTTTTGTTGTTAGGGCTCGGAACCGTAAAGTAAGCGTAAAGCAAGATGCTATAGACCCTGTTAGGTCTACATGTACATAGCCTGTTCGCACGAGTCGAAGTAGAGAACAGAGTCCAGACACAGTCTGTTTCGTTATTTTAAACGAACGAGGGATTATGAGTACGCCTATTTCTACAAGGTCGTGAAGGAGTCAGTCGAATACGAACGTTCCATAGCAAAGACAGGCGAACATCCTACCTTTCTGATGTTACTTCTCTCTCTGACCACGGGATGCTTTCCTTCCTTCACCTTATTTGTCTTTTTCTCTCCTGCAGTTCTCTTGCTCTGAGTGGTAGCGGTGGTGGCAGTGGTAGCGGCACTTGTATCTGTGGGTGTCGGGCTTGGGTTTGATTGCTCCTCCGTGCCTCTCTGTTGAGTATAGATAAAGGTCTGTGGTTTTGTTTTTATTATGATATTTGTTTAGTAGTACCGGTAGTAGTAGTAGTAGTAGTAGTAGTAGTAGTAGTAGTAGTAGTAGTAGTAGTAGTAGTAGTAGTAGTAGTAGTAGCAGTAGTAGTAGTAGTAGTCTTTTCCTAATTCCCCGAAGCGTGAATGGGAGCCCGGTTGTAGTGGGCGGTTCCGTTTTTTGTTTCAATAATCGCAGACTCCCATTTATTCAATGCTAGGACTCGTAAGAATCGAGTTCGAACCCAATTACTGTTTACTGTTGTGATTTTTTTCCGGGGAGGCCATGATTTCTTCCGGTGGCTCCGACCTCCTGGCAACTACAATTGCTTCCGGTGAGTAGTGAGTACCCCGTTGAGTCCAATTCTAAGACAATTGTAGCTTTTGTCGCACGCAACGGAACATTTTGGCACGATGTGGTCGCGCAAAAGGATATAATATACACCTCGCGACTAATCACTAGCGCCTGTCGCGCGCTAATAAAGGTCGCGCCGCGCATAAGGAGACATAGGCTAAGCCCTTACGCCACGGTAGCAGCGTGCACTATGGTATACGTGTTATGTAGCAGATGAAGATCTAAGTATTCTTCTCGGCTGCAGCTTCGAAGTTGACGACAGCAGGCCAATGGTAAGCAACAAGGGCGGATGGTATAAGACCCTCTTGCTGCCATGGTTGCTGCGCGAGGAGCAACCACCGAGTACGTTGTTTTTGTCTCAGGCTCTCAAACCTTAGCCAGCTGGAACTGAACGACTCTATTGGAACCTCTAAGCAGTCTGCCCTTTAATATGGATAGCATTCTGATAACCTCCTGCACCGAGACACCAATCTGATCGTCTTGTCTCATCTAACCATTAGATGCACTGTGTCTGATGACGCTTCTCCACTTTAGCGCAAGTCAAACATCTGCTTTTATCTACCCTTTCTCCCTTTTTGACAGGTGGCTCCGGTATACTTGTTGTTATGTGTTATGTCCTTGTGAAAGGCACTTTACATGATTATTTTTCAATTGACTTCGTCCTTTCGGAGATGGACGTTAAACTCAGAGGTCTCACTTCTTAAAAAATCCTAGTAGTGTTGAAAGGGGCCTTAAACCTTTACAACATTACGATTTTCACCTGTGAGTTGAGTTTAGTACGAGTTTTCGGCGCTCGCAAATGCATGGCTTGCTTTTGATCAATGAACAGATTTAATGGTTTACAATTTTAAGGTAAAAATTTGAGTTGAAAATCAACAGAAATGTATATTCAATTAATATACAATTGAAATAATATTATTTAACATTTCACTGTAAATGCCTATGGCCTTTATGAAATGTTCTGTTGGGGTCAACGACAGAGAACAGATCCTTCAAATTTCTATATTTATGATACTTCCTTCGGGTCTATCAAAAGTCCAAGCATTCCGTTAGTACGAGTCTAAAGGTAAAGTCAGTATCACTTCTGAAATATAACGGTTTCTCCTCTCCCTAAACAAGGTATTTATCAGTCAAGGAGTTTGACCAAATATTTGTCTGATACGTAATAGAGTAAATATAGCTTCATCTTTTCTGAAGACGGTCCAAGGTTTTCGCGGACCCAGTTTGGGCATAATATTGTAGATTTTATTGGTCATCACTGACTGAAGGTGTCGCTTTTACTTTATTTTTAAAGTCTGTTTGTGGGAGAATGTTCTTCGTTGATCTCTACAAAAGGGACAAGGATTCCTTCGCCAGCAGATCGACCTGCTCGTTTTCTCGGAACCTCATAATGCTAGGTAGCCATGCGAATACGATACGTTTCCCCTGATCAGCTAAAGAATGTTGTCTCAATTGAAATTTAACTATTTTTGAGTGTACGAGCGTACAATTTGTGAGTGAGGTGATGCAAGATAGGGAATCAGACGGAATAAGAAAATATATTTTTAGAGGAATTTTGCACGGAGTCCAATGCCATGTCAATGGCAGTGGCCTCCGAGGAGAAAATGGAGGTTTCGGGATGGAGTCTCCTCTGGGGTGTACTGTTTGTGGACAGGGGAGCGGCGCACACAGCTATGTCCGATGTAGAGCCGTCTGTGAAGATTAAGTCTGCATTGGGGTACCTTTTAAATCAGGATTTTTGTATGCTGTTTGAAATGTTTTGCTTTGTTGTGTATTTTAAGTTCTAAGTCTACTATTGCCCTGGGGAGGTGCCACAGAAGAAGGAAGGGAGGGGTGGGGGAGGGGGGGGGGAGAGAAATTGTTCAATGTCTTTTAGGGAAAAGTCTATGTTTTTGAGGTTTTCAATGACTCTGAGGCCGAAATGTTTGATGAGTTTGTCCTTTAAAAATTGTTTATTGTATCCGGTTGAGTTCTAAAATGCAGTCTTGTGCTGGGTTTTCTGGAGTTGATCTTTGTTTAATTGCGTACAGTAGTGATAGTTGTGTTCCTCTGAATGTTAGAGATGGTGTGTTTGCCTCGGCCTGGATGCTCTTCTTTGGAGAAGTGCAGAAAGACCCAAGGGCTAGGCGGAGTCCTTGGTATTGTTCGGGGTCTAGCGTTTTCAGGACCCATATGCCAGACAGCGGTCTCGGACAAGGGAACAGTAATGGTGGAGAAAGAGTTTTTGAGTCCCCACCCACTCTGGATGAGATATGCTTTTTAAAGCATTTAAGGCTTTCTTGCACTTCACACAATAATGTCTGCTGCACAATGAATTGTTGACAATTGCCACAGTAGAACCAACGAGCTGATCTTGATTGAAAATCAATCTCGCTGCAAGGGACTGCTAGGCAACAGCTCAGATATAAATGATTTGTGCCTCAAGTTCAGTGAAATCACAGTCACAATAAATAAAGATCCATGTTGGAATCGACAGAAATGAGGCAGCAAACCAAGCTGCCAATGAAGCCAGAGAGATTGAAGGAGACAGACGACCAATAAATACAGAGAAGTCTTTCCAAAGATCAAGAGGGGAACCAGAGACCCACCGTGCAAAGCTGAGTACCAGCACCTGGAGGATGTGTATTCTGGGTACTCCAATAAGAAGGAACAATTAATCACATGTCGCTGGGACCATGTTGAGCTAGCGAGACTGCGATCGGACCATCATTGGAGCATGAGAAGGTATCAGAACTTTGTGAAAGAAGAGCTCAACCCACGTTGTCGAAGACGAAAGCATGAAAAGGAGGATATCAAACATATTTTTGAATGTCCAGGAACAATGGCAATTGGAATGGATTTATTTGGACCTCTGAGTATAATGGCAATGGAGCCGAAAAAGAGCCTCGCTATCGCTCGAAGATTTTTTCGAGGAGTCCACCAGGCCCATTAAGGGAACAAAATGCATCATCATCATCATCATCATCATCATCATCATCATCATCATCATCATCATCATCATCATCATCATCATCATCATCATCATCATCAGCAGCAGCAGCAGCAGCAGCAGCAGCAGCAGCAGCAGCAGCAGCAGCAGCAGCAGCAGCATCATCAACACCCCCATAAAAATATGACATGACCTGAAATGCCTTACCTCTGACTCCTCAATGGGCAATTCCAAAGGCGTCTCAGACACCGCCTGTGATAGACGGAAAGATTTGGACTTCTCCATGTCGAGAGGTGGTGGCATCTTCCCTACTCTAGGGGGGCCTCTGTGAGCGCCGACCTCGAGGGACAAACCGCCTCCTAGATCAATGTCCACTTTTCTCAAAGGCTTGCTTTGTGTCTTGACTGCGTCAGAAATGCATCTTAATGGTTACACCATTTGATTTAGAGAAGGAACACATTCACATTATAATGATTATCTTAACCGGAAGTAACACAGATAGACAGTGGGAAACAATAGTCTTATTAGTTTTATAATAAACGATTAGAACAAACCATTAGTGCCCTTTAACTGTCATCAGCCAAGGCGAAGTAGTATCAACTCTTATGCTCTTTGTGTTAAACTTCAGAGCTTGCATGTTCTTATATGTCGCAAAATCAGTATGCACTGTTATTGAGCACTCGGATTAAATAGCAACAAATAAAACATGAGTTTATTCGATGCTGTAAATAATTAAACAGATCTAGTAGTAGTAAGCCCGCCTTTGTCTTTATTGCTTAATGTAAAGTCTAAAAGGCTATGGAATCAGGGGAAAGGCCCGTTTTTGTAGTCAAAGGTAGACGTAAGAAGAAGAGGCATTTTTAACATACAGCAACAACAACAACAACAACAATAACAACAACAATAATAATAATAATAATAATAATAATAATAATAATAATAATAATAATAATAATAATAATAATAATAATAATAATAATAATAATAATGATATACTTTTTCTACTGACGTTTGAGCTTTGAAGGTCGATATTTGCGATTTCTTAAATGAAGTTTTCATAGCTAGTTCCAATTGTTCGGGGCGGGACTGGTGTGAAGTTGGTAGAGATAGTCTTTTCAACTGTTTTTACACTGTTGGCTTTTGTTGGGGGGGGGGGGGGGGGGTGGTGGTTAGTTTTTGCATGTCAGTGCCACTAGTCTTGTTTCCATGTCATTGTAATGAATTGAGACTGGACTCTGCCATAAATGTGAAATTTCTCTGAAATCAAAGATAATGTATTTATATGAATGAACAACCCGTCCAATAGAATTAAGACCAGATATGACTATCCAGAGTACTCACAGTCAAGTTTAATGCCACCTGGACTCTCCTGACTTGGGGTGACTTTGACCGGGACAGGGGTCACAAAAGACACCTCCTTGACCGGAGTATTGTCCTCTGTCCGTGGTCTTGGTAATGGGGTCAGGTCAGCTACCTGCTCCTTGTCGGAACGCCACGCGAAGGTCGGAACACCCTGAAGATTTAAGAAAAAAAAAAGGGGGGGGGGGTCATAGTTTTGTTCGGATTTTTGTCTAGAAAGGACAAAACAATGTGTGATATTTAGCAACTTTCGAGGATTTCACTTGTATGAAAATTAGCTAAAAAAAAAAGATAAATTCTGCTTCCTCAGTTTCTCGGGGGAGATTTTCTGGAAGGTGTTTTCAGAACTTTTAATCTCTTTTTGGTCCAATTTGATGAGAAATGAATGTGCATCTGCAGGTTAAGAGCAAACTATTATGTCGCATTTGAAAATAATTAAAACTGGAAGAGGATAGAGAGAAACTGGCGCACTTTATCCATACAGCAGTAAAAATTGTCAATTAAAACACAACCCTTTTCCAGAATTTAAATACAGCATACATTTTTCCCTACTACAGTTAAAAAATGCTTTTGTAGAAAGCCTTTTTGTACAACTACATATCGGTTATTTGAAACAGCAACCAAACACTTAAGGGAAGGCGCGGGTCTTCAAAATACGATGTTTAGTTCAAAATATCGATTTTCAACTTTTTACATTTTCGGGTACCTGAAAATGTTAGGAACTGATACCCCCTGACCTCCATTAGAAACTATTTTTAAAAAATCGTTTTATGGTCATTTCCTTTAGGGTACCTTCCTCAAAGTAGGGCCCATGTTTTCATCAAATGAGCCCCAAATGAGCCCATAATTAGACAGTGATGACAACAACGTGACCCTAACATGTTTAGTATCGGCGGGTCCCAGGTGGCGGATAGGGAACGGCCACTGTAATGGAGGTTAACTGTGAATATGTTGAATAAGCAGCCCCGGACCAACTGGCGATGCTCTTACCAGGACGGGGTGAGGTGGTAGGTGGCACTGCCACGTCATTAAATGCCCTAGGAGTCCTCTGACGGGAGCATCATGCGGAAAAGGACCGCATTAAGTCCTGGCTATGGGTGGGATCCGGTAACAATTTCTCCCTGTGCTCCCAGGGTAGGTCCTTGGACCTAGAGCTGGAGTGCTGAAATCGGAGGTATTGGGCCGCAAGGTGCACTCTAGAGAACCACAATACCACGTAATACTGCAATAAATGACACTTGAAGTAGGTAACATTAGATATGGTGCTCGCCCTGTGAGGACCCACCAGGCAGGAGCAGTGCTGGGCCCCAAGCCTCGAAGGGGTCCACCCAAGCGACTGGAGGGCCTTCCATCGTCTTGGAGTGCCAGGAGCCGAGGAAGAAAAGCGACTGGTAACACAAACACAAAACAGATAAAGAAAAGTCTTAATATCATGCATTGGAATGCTGAAGGAATCTCAAACAAGAAAACAGAGCTGGAAAACTTTCTATAAGATAATGAAATTCACA